AGATGTCTGGGGGTATTGGCAAGAGGCAATCGACGACTGAAAGGTAGCGCCCAAGAGCTGACACTCAACATACAAGCACATGCATATGAAAACACACAAACACACACACACACACACACACACGAAACAAAGATGGAAGAAAACAAAAGGCTAATTAATCCGGATATCAACATTATGATTATCAACCCCCCCCTCCCCTACCCCCAACCCCCTCCCCTGCTCCCAACCCCCCAATACTTGGCCCATCATCATTCACGTCTAAACTATCCTTCCTTGTCCCCCCCCCACTACACCCTCCCACCACCTCCTATCCCCACTCTTCTAGAATGGCACCACTGCCACCTGCGTCCCTCCTGTCCCCAAGAGTGGCACTCCCCCCCCGCGGGTGAAACGCGTGATTTCGTCGGCTCTGGTCTTTGTGCGGGCGGCGTGACTGGCAGGCGCCCCGCTCCTATCTCCAGTCACACACCAACAAGCGACCGTTAATAAACTGATAAAACACAAGATAATAGACGGGGGAGAAGGGGGCGGGGGGGGGGGGAGTTTCGACGTGGGGGATGATGGCATTGGGGAGGATGATGGCGTACTGGGGGGAGGGGGATGTATTTTGACGGGGAAAGGATAACGGTGAGGGGATGACGGTGAGAGGGAGGGGGGGGGTGACGGTGAGAGAGGGGAATGACGGTGAAAGGTATAGTGGAGGTTGAGGAGACCTCCCCCCCTCGTAGGGAGGGAGGAGGAGGGAGCCAAGACGACAAGTCGTCCCCAGGGATCAACATGGGGAGTCCTGGTGGCGTGTGGACGCCTCACACATGACTCAAGATCCCAGCTAGTCGCCAAGGTTTTGATGAGTCTTAAAGTGAGACGTTTGCGGCCTCTCTGGACCCACTAAAGTTGATTTCCAGAGAAGCTCCTTCAGAGACGCGAGCCGTGGCCCCCATCAGAGGCTTGCAACAGCTTACACCTGCCCCCATCTGAGCCTTGCAACAGCTTACACCTGTACCCATCAGAGCCTTGCAACAGCCTACACCTGCCCCATCAGAGGCTTGCAACAACTTACACCTGCCCCATCAGAGGCTTGCAACAGCTTACACCTGCCCCCATCAGAGCCTTGCAACAGCTTACACCTGCCCCATCAGAGCCTTGCAACAGCTTACACCTGCCCCCATCAGAGGCTTGCAACAGCTTACACCTGCCCCATCAGAGCCTTGCAACAGCTTACACCTGCCCCATCAGAGGCTTGCAACAGCTTACACCTGCTCCCATCAGAGCCTTGCAACAGCTTACACCTGCCCCCATCAGAGCCTTGCAACAGCTTACACCTGCCCCCATCAGAGCCTTGCAACAGCTTACACCTGCCCTCATCAGAGCCTTGCAACAGCTTACACCTGCCCCCATCAGAGCCTTGCAACAGCTTACACCTGCCCCATCAGAGCCTTGCAACAGCTTACACCTGCCCCCATCAGAGCCTTGCAACAGCTTACACCTGCCCCATCAGAGCCTTGCAACAGCTTACACCTGCCCCATCAGAGGCTTGCAACAGCTTACACCTGCTCCCATCAGAGCCTTGCAACAGCTTACACCTGCCCCATCAGAGCCTTGCAACAGCTTACACCTGCCCCCATCAGAGCCTTGCAACAGCTTACACCTGCGCCATCAGAGCCTTGCAACAGCTTACACCTGCCCCATCAGAGGCTTGCAACAGCTTACACCTGCCCCCATCAGAGCCTTGCAACAGCTTACACCTGCCCCCATCAGAGCCTTGCAACAGCTTACACCTGTACCCATCAGAGGCTTGCAACAGCTTACACCTGTACCCATCAGAGCCTTGCAACAGCTTACACCTGTACCCATCAGAGCCTTGCAACAGCTTACACCTGCCCCCATCAGAGCCTTGCAACAGCTTACACCTGCCCCATCGGAGCCTTGCAACAGCTTACACCTGCCCCCATCAGAGCCTTGCAACAGCTTACACCTGCCCCCATCAGAGCCTTGCAACAGCTTACACCTGCTCCCATCAGAGCCTTGCAACAGCTTACACCTGCCCCATCAAAGCCTTGCAACAGCTTACACCTGTACCCATCAGAGCCTTGCAACAGCTTACACCTGCCCCCATCAGAGCCTTGCAACAGCTTACACCTGCACCCATCAGAGCCTTGCAACAGCTTACACCTGCCCCCATCAGAGCCTTGCAACAGCTTACACCTGCCCCCATCAGAGCCTTGCAACAGCTTACACCTGCTCCCATCAGAGCCTTGCAACAGCTTACACCTGCCCCATCAGAGCCTTGCAACAGCTTACACCTGTATCCATCAGAGCCTTGCAACAGCTTACACCTGCCCCATCAGAGCCTTGCAACAGCTTACACCTGCCCCCATCAGAGCCTTGCAACAGCTTACACCTGCCCCCATCAGAGCCTTGCAACAGCTTACACCTGCCCCCATCAGAGCCTTGCAACAGCTTACACCTGCCCCCATCAGAGCCTTGCAACAGCTTACACCTGCCCCCATCAGAGCCTTGCAACAGCTTACACCTGCCCCCATCAGAGGCTTGCAACAGCTTACACCTGCTCCCATCAGAGCCTTGCAACAGCTTAAAATACCATTAACAAAATATTATCCAGACATTCTTCTCGCTGTTAAGTCTTGCAGCAGCTGTACCCCAGGAAGGAACAATATTGCACTTCGGTGAATACTAATTCTAAACCGTCCAGAAATAGAGTAATTTTACCAATTAAAGTCGTCAATTAGTGCGAATATCACCTGCCTGTGTCTTGGTCCCAATTGGAAATGCCAATACATGTAAATTTAGGAGCGTTTCTCATAAGATTTTAATAATTTTCCACTACCAGTGGCCTCGTAGCCTGGTGGATAGCGCGCAGGACTCGTAATTCTGTGGCGCGGGTTCGATTCCCGCACGAGGCAGAAACAAATGGGCAAAGTTTCTTTCACCCTGAATGCCCCTGTTACCTAGCAGTAAATAGGTACCTGGGTGTTAGTCAGCTGTCACGGGCTGCTTCCTGGGGGTGGAGGCCTGGTCGAGGACCGGGCCGCGGGGACACTAAAAAAGCCCCGAAATCATCTCAAGATAACCTCAAGAAGATAACCAACAGCACACAGATTTTCCCGTTATATGACCATAACTCCTGTGTGTGTGTGTGCGATTAATATATATTATATATACACACACAGGAAACATTAACAATTCACTATGTCTACTACACTCATTCATCTGAACATGCTTTGAACACACAATTATTGAGCACTACCACACAAGAGCTACTGAACAACATTAAACACGATTATACAAGTAGAACAACTATATTAACACGACGACTACGATCTAGCAGCAACGGGATAACACTTGATTAACACTGGGATAGGTGAGTACAACTAGGTGAGTACTTGACATTTATAATGAAGCACAATCATATCTTCTATATAAACCAAGGCACGTGCTTCAATGTATAAACTAAGGCACGTGCTTCAATGTATAAACTAAGGCACGTGCTTCAATGTATAAACCAAGGCACGTGCTTCAATGTATAAACCAAGACACGTGCTTCAATGTATAAACCAAGACACGTGCTTCAATGTATAAACCAAGACACGTGCTTCAATGTATAAACCAAGACACGTGCTTCAATGTATAAACTAAGACACGTGCTTCAATGTATAAACCAAGACACGTGCTTCAATGTATAAACCAAGACACGTGCTTCAATGTATAAACCAAGACACGTGCTTCAATGTATAAACCAAGACACGTGCTTCAATGTATAAACCAAGACACGTGCTTCAATGTATAAACTAAGACACGTGCTTCAATGTATAAACTAAGACACGTGCTTCAATGTATAAACCAAGACACGTGCTTCAATGTATAAACCAAGACACGTGCTTCAATGTATAAACCAAGACACGTGCTTCAATGTATAAACCAAGACACGTGCTTCAATGTATAAACTAAGACACGTGCTTCAATGTATAAACCAAGACACGTGCTTCAATGTATAAACCAAGACACGTGCTTCAATGTATAAACCAAAGCACGTGCTTCAATGTATAAACCAAGACACGTGCTTCAATGTATAAACCAAGGCACGTGCTTCAATGTATAAACCAAGACACGTGCTTCAATGTATAAACCAAGACACGTGCTTCAATGTATAAACCAAGACACGTGCTTCAATGTATAAACCACAATACTCTGTGCAACTGGCTACAATTAGAGGCAAGACCGGGGATTAACAAGGCAGCTGTTCTTCCCTTCAACGACCGCCAACATCACCACACATTAAGCATAATCTCATTAGCCAACTAAGAAACAACTAGTTGCATAGTTGCTACTGACAAAACTACCGGAACTACACCTACCGGAAACAGGAAACTACCAAATACCCCCAAACACTAATTCTAAACAAATTTAAATACTCTTTATAAACATTCACGGAACATCAAATACTACAGAGACAAGTTTCTTGGAGTACAGGTTCTTGGACTCGAAGAGTACAAGAACCAGGCGTCCTGTACCCCCTTCAGAAACCGTCTGGAACGCAGGCAACCACCAACACAGGGAGAGGGGAATAGGGGGGTGGGGGTGGTTACAACCTACCAACAACAACCACAGTTAGCACGATCAATTACAACAATTAAACAGGCGCCACAACAACAACAACAACACTCAAGCCAGGGCAGGCAAAGGTAATTAATGGACTCCTACCTTCGAACTCGTGAAACAGGCGAGAGTGGAGACCAGCGGGGCTCTTCTTACCTGCAGGAGAGAGAGAGAGAGAGAACAGGTTTATAATACAAGTCAAATTATTGTATGTTGCAAATGCCAGTCTCATCGTTGTATGTTGCAAATGCCAGTCCCATCATTGTATGTTGCAAATGCCAGTCCCATCATTGTATGTTGCCATGCCAGTCCCATCATTGTATGTTGCCATGCCAGTCCCATCATTGTATGTTGCAATGCAAGTCCCATCATTGTATGTCACCATGCCAGTCCCATCATTGTATGTCACCATGCCAGTCCCATCATTGCAGTTGCAATGCCAGTCCCATCATATTATGGAGCAATTCAAGGCCCTGCACTGTAAGTCCCGCCATTGTTAATGCTACAGGTCCAGTCACTGTAAATATGTTGCAGTACAAGTCCCGTCGTCGTAAATATGCTGCAATGCCAGTCCTCTAATCGTAAATATTGCAAGGCAAACCCCCTATCACTGCAAATATGTTGCAATGCAAGTCCCATCACAATCATGTCGAGCCAGTTCGACACACTCTGGGACAATACAATGTCAAGCGCATAAGTCTTTGCTCAAGTCGAAATAATTAAGATTTATTATGACTTACTGATCAGGACCAAACACACACACTATAAGCTTGAAATTAATTAATGTCACCGTCAGTAATATTTAAACTATCTATTGTTTGTACAAGAGCAAATGAGCTATGGCGAATTCTTGGAGGGGGGGGGGGGGGTTCAAATCCCGTGGTTGCAATGACAACAATGATCGCACAATATTACCCTGAAAAAAAAAACATTCACAAACTAGTCAAATATTACCCTTTATAATTTACATATATCAAGACTTATAAAAAATGTGAGGTGTATGGAGCTTTTAAGTTATACTAAGGAGTATGATGATCCAGTGGTGCAAGTGTGAAGTGAGTGACTTACATCTCAGATTATGAACTATTTAAATAACAGGAACAATAGCAAGAGGTCCAAGAGCACCGCTCCTGTGCCAGGCAAGTTCACTACGGGCTCACCATAGCCCGTGCTACTTGGAACTTGTTCCGAGTAGCTGAATCCATAACAACAACCAAGAGGTCATTTTCCATCCTCCTGAGTATATAATTCTGACGTTCACATTAATCGGGCACCAGAGTGGCTCTGGGATCAGCGATGCTAAGCTGCAAGCTCCCTTCACAGGACCAGGGGTGGGTAGGCCCTCTTCACAGGACCAGGGGTGGGTAGGCCCTCTTCACAGGACCTGGGGTGGGTAGGCCGTCTTCACAGGACCTGGGGTGGGTAGCCGCCTTCACAGGACCAGGGGTAGGTAGCCGCGTACATGTGATTTGGTGGTCGATAACCTACGCACGAACTCAGCATGATATGCTATGTGGGACCATTCACAGGACCTGGAGCGAATAGCATCTTGCGGTAGATATTCTACGCACTATCTCAAGGCAAATTTGAGGAATATGAAGAACGTAACTAAATCCTGAGAGCATTGAAACTGCCCAAGTCGTTAGCGTGCTCTTAACTACTGTACAACGCCACACGCGTACCCAGACAACTTGCTTACACACTTCCTTAACCAGACAATGAGATATCATCACACTGTCAGAGCATAATTACATATCACAGCTGTTTGCTTAATTTTCTAATTCGCGTTAAAGGGCCGTACTGCGTATTTTCGGCTAAACACCTATAGACCGTATGCAGTTAGTGAACTATTTCGAGCACGCTGAGCGGATGATAGGTACTCCTTTTAAACGATCTCTTAGCAACATTTAAATATAATTTAATACATTATAAGGCTCGTAGATCCTCTCTCAGAACACTGCAAATCGAAGCGTCGACGGACTCAGCAGCGAAAACTATGTCATAATATTTTAGTTATTGCATGATCGCCCTCACTTCCCTGTACATGACAGGCGCATGTTTCAACTCATTTTATTAAGGCCCGTTGCTCATGGCGTGTCATGAGTAGAGCTAATCCCTATAGCGTAGCATGAGCTGTGTGTTGAGTGAGTCTGGCTCAAGAGAGGAGTGAAATAGAGGCCGGGGCGAGCGGTGAAGTACCCGACTCTACAGCGCCAGCCGGTGTGGGTAGACTGCACCTTGTTGCTCAAGCCCGTGGGGGTGCTGCCAACCAATCAGCTTTATGGCTGCTAACTGACAGCCAATTGGGTTTATGGATACCCCGTGTGGACCAATGAGAGGGCGAGTGAGGTGCAGGGGTGGGGCCGGGCACGGTGGGGGCGTGGACTATTGCAAGGTTGGGTCAGTGGGCACTGCAGCTGTAATACACCGCTGGCGCCACCACACCACCACCGTCTACACCATAACTACTGCTCAACACGACTGCGTGTCGCCACCACAACAAAGCCCATCAACAACCACAATCAACCAATTCAACCACACGCTACTGTAGATAGCCACCACCACACAACCACCTTCCGCAACATGGAAATATAATTTTAGGAAGGAGTAACTGAAGAGGAAGAAGCCCGCCAGGCCTCGCTCCTCGTCAAAACATCCCGGGCAACCAGCCCTGCCACCGACGTCACCACAACCCCACACCTTTACAACAGTAATGGGGAGTTATGGCCCTCACAATCACGACTTGCAGCGCCCCTTACCTACCTTGACCCCACTACATTCAGGAGCGAGCAGTCCCCCCACAACCAACCCCCCACCTCCTCCACCTCTCCACAAGTCTCAAAAATCCCCTCTTCCCTCCCCCCTACCCCAACTCCTCTCTCC